GAAGCTCCGGGGCGGGGCCGCGGGCCGGGGCGGGGCCAGAGGCGTAAACGCGCGTGAGGTTGGGGGAGGGCGGGGACGAGGGCGGGGCGTACGTGTGGCTGAGGATGGGGTGTGAGTGGGTGAGCCTGGGGGGGCGGGGCGGGGGCGGGGCGAGAGGCGGGCGGGGGGGCGAGCTTGGGAGTAAGGCGTGGGCGGGGCGACGGCAAAACTGGGGGCGGGGCGAACTCGGGGGGCAGTTGCACCGGGCGCGAGGAGGTCGGAGCGAGAGTGGTGAGATGGGGCGGAGTGCAGACGAGGGAGGACAGCATAGGGGTGAGCCCTGGCTGCGGGGAGCAGCCAAACAGGCCTGGGCCTTCTGTCTTCGTGAGGTGGCTGGCCACTCTGAGGCCTTGGCAGTCACTGGGACCCGTCACACCGGGCTCGCTCGCGGGAGGCGAGGGCGCCGTGGCCCGCCCTGGAGCAGGGAAGGCAGCGGACTCTGGATTCTCTCCCGCAGCCCTGAGCTCACAGAAGGCCCACTGGGCCTCCGCCTCTCTCCTCCCCAGATCCGGGTCTTCCTCAAGCAACTCAAGGGCCGCGTGGTGCGGGAGGCCATTCAGCGGTCACATCCAGGTGGCCCGCAAGGTTCAAGGCGCCGGGCGGCCCAGACCCCAGCCCCCATAGAGGTGAGGCGGGTGGGCAGAACAAGGCTGGGTGGGAACCGAAGGGATAACCTCTCAGGGCATCTCCAGGAGGAGCAGGGTGGGGAACCCTGTGGGCTGATCCCTGGGCTGACCACGTACCTCTTGGCTTCACTCAGGTGTGGATGGATCTGGCCGAGAAGATAACAGGCCCTCTGGAGGAATCCCTGACAGCAGCTTTCTCACAGGTAGAGCAATCCCCTGGGCAGGCTGGGCGTGTCCTAGGGGACAGGGTCATACATATGAGTCCAAAGAAGGTGGACCTGGGTAGTGGGTCCTTCGTCTTGCCGGCTCTGTGACCTCCAACCCGTCCCTGTACACCCTGAGTCTCAGTATCTCTGGCTCTGAGGCCATCTCCTGTCTGAGCTGCCGTCTCGGGGTGGCAGGGAGGATTTGGTAAAAGGATAGAGATGGACTCCACTCTACATGGTGGGAGTGGAAGGACTGCCACCCCTACCTCCCCGAACCCTCTGCCTGCCAGGTACTTACCATCGCGGCCACGGAACCTGCCAGCCTCCTGCACTCCAAGCCTCCCAAACCCACGCGAGCCCGTGGGAAGCTGCTGCTCCTGAGTGTCCCTGGAAGACAGGAGGACCCCGCCCCGGAGACCCCCGCCCCCGGCCCTGAGACTCGTGGCTCTGCCCTTGAGGCTTCTGGCCCCGCCCTCAAGGCTTCTGGCCCCGCCCCTGAGACCCCTGGTCCTGACCCTGAGGTACCTTCCGGGTCCCTGGCTGGCCCCTCCGCTGCCGGAGACTTCACTGTGGACTTTGAGAAGATCTACAAGTACCTGTCCTCCTCCTCCCGCAGTGGCCCCAGTCCTGAGCTCTCGGCAGCTGGTGAGAGGGTATGGGGCAGAGGGCTTGGGGGTCTTAGGCAGCAGGCCCGGCTCTCCCCTCACCCCTCTTCCTCCGTCTGTCACTAGAGTCGGCTGTGGTCCTTGACCTGCTCCTGTTGCTGCCGGAGGAGCTGCCCCGCCTGCCGTGCACAGCCCTGGTTGAGCACATGACGGAGACATACCGACGCCTGACAGCCCCCGAGCCCAGCCTCGCTGGACAGAGCCCGGGGCCTGGGGCTGAGGGTGGTGAGACTGGCTCCAGGGGGCCGGAGGAGTC